TTCTTTTCATTTTAGACAAAAAGGGGAAATATAGTGGCATATTAACTTTGTTTTAATAAATAAAGCTTGCCTCAAGATCAGAGAGCAAAGCAACCATACTAGTCAGTCATACAGGCCAGTGTGAGTAGTGGCACACATATTTAATCCCAGGATTTGGGAGATAGAAGTAGGCAGGTCTCTGTTAGTTCAAAGCCACCCTGGACTAGGCAAGATTGAATCTGTCTAAAAGAGAAACAGAGCTCATACAAAGGTGATCCCAACACTTGGGATCACAGGTCTTTAATCCCAGCACTAGGGAGGTGGAGACAGGAGCAATATGGCTGGGTGGAGAGAGGAATATAAAGGGGAGACAGAAACTCAGTGGAGTGTGGAGCCTGAGGATTCATGGAGACAGGCTCTCTCTTGGAGACAGGATCTTGTCCCTTTGGTTTGAAGATTTGGTAGAAGTAAAAGGTCTCTCCAGTGGTTGGTTGCTTTGCTTTTCTGATCTTTAGGTTGAACCCCAATATCTGTCTCTGGGTTTTTATTATTCGTACTAAGGTGTCAGATCTTCTGGATCTGGAGTCACAGACAGTCGGGTGCTGGGACTCGAACCCCGGTCCTCTGGAAGAGCAGCCAGTGCTCTCTTAACTACTGAGCTCACTCTCTACTGGGCACTTGTCCTCCACATTTCCCTTAAGGCACCATGAGGAACTGAAACTTCCTCAGTTGTTCTGCTGGTTGGATTTAGTTTTGCTTTGTTTTGGTTACAGTGAGTTTTAAACAATAAAGTAAAAAATTTATGTGGCATTCTGGTCGAAAGAGATGTCATTTTAACAGGCTTTTTCCTTTCTCTTCTTTCTCCTTCCCTCCCAGTTCTCTTCCTTTGTCCTGCTGCTCACCCAGCTTTTACCTGTCCATTTGTTTATTTGCAGATTATAATGCTAAACAAATCTTTTTTTTTTTTTTGTTTTGTTTTTTTTTGAGACAGGGTTTCTCTGTGGCTTTGGAGCCTGTCCTGGAACTAGCTGTTGTAGACTAGGCTGGCCTCGAAATCACAGAGATCTGCCTGCCTCTGCCTCCCGAGTGCTGGGATTAAAGGCGTGCGCCACCATCGCCCGGCTAAGCAAATCTTTCTAACAAGTTTCCACAAAAGAAAACACTGTCCTGTGTAAAAAAGTTGAACAAATTTAATTCACACTGTTCCAGACCTCGAGACAAGGTTTCTCTGTAGCTTTGGAGCCTGTCCTGAAACTAACTTTTGTAGATCAGGCTGGCCTCGAACTCACAGAGATCTGCCTTGCCTCTGCCTCCCAAGTGCTGGGACTAAAGGCGTGTGCCACCACTGCCCGGCTATTTGTTTATTTCTAAATTGTGTGTGTGTGTGTGTATTTTTTGTATGTGTCTTGTGTGTGTGTATGTGTGTGATGGTGGGGACATGTGCATGTTGTGAGTACAGCGCTCAGGGCGGCCCCGAGAGGCGTTAGATCCTCTGGGGCTACAGCTATACATGGTTTGTGAGTCACTTGACACGAACACTGAGAACCAAATTCGGGTTTTCTGCAAAAGCAGCTGGACTCCAGGCCTAAACTTGACCTTGACTCTTTTATATACACACACACACACACACACACACACACACACACACACACAATTGCTTGTGTGTGGGGGACAGGGACTGAAGAAAACTGACCTCTGGTGTCTGCAGGCACGTGATGCAGACATACACTCAGGGAAACACCCACACACATTTAAAACGATAAAAAATGAGTTGGGCTTAGAGGCGCAGGAGTTTAGACCCAGCACTCAGGAGGCAGATACAGACAGATCTCTGAGTGTGAGGCTAGCCTGACCTACAGAGCGAGTTCCAGGACAGTCTGAGTCACACAGGGGAACCCTGTCTTGAAAAACAAAAAAAAAAAAAACAAACAAGAAAGGGAAAGGGTTGGCGGGGAGGGAGGGACGACACAACACGGGACACTGTCCACATGTTCTGCTTAGAGTCTCCAGAGCCATCAAGGCTCCCGTTACTTCTCCACTTTGGGCTTGATTGTTTTTATTTTTTTCTCTTTCTTCCCTGGAACCCAGCAGCAGTTTAAAATTACTGCACTTCTGTATAATTGGAATTTGAAAGTCTGTGACTGCTTAAGCCGTGCCCACCGCCCACCGGCTGGAGAGTAGGAACTCAGTCCTCTATGCAGGTGACCTCCCCGCGAGCATCTGGCTGGCGAGACCCTTCAGGGTGTCTGCTGTTTCTGCTGTCCTGTCTTTTTCACCTCATTTCCGCTAGTCTGAAACTTTGCATCCCTTTTGTGACCTAGTTTAAGGTTATTCCGGAGTAAAACCTTCACTGATTAATTCTGCCTTCAATAAGCATTCCCTTTGAATTTCTTTAGTATTCTTGTCTAAATTGTACCTGTCTCTCAAGATTTTCTTTCTTTTTTTTTTTTTTTTTTGATTTTTCGAGACAGGGTTTCTCCGTAGCTTTTGGTGCCTGTCCTGGAACTAGCTCTTGTAGACCAGGCTGGCCTCGAACTCACAGAGATCCGCCTGCCTCTGCCTCCCGAGTGCTGGGATTAAAGCGTGCGCCACCACCGCCCGGCTCTCAAGATTTTCTTACGTGTTGCTGTGTGATTGTCTTTCTCATGTTTACAAGTATTTCTTTAACTTCACCAAACTCCTTAAGGGCAGGATTTGTCTTCTCCAAAGCAAATAACAGAGCATTTAATAAATCTGTAATCCTGGATAAATTATTTAACAAGCTTGGGGTTTAGTTTTCTCATTTCTTACATGGGGATAATGTTGCCTGTATCATAGGAATGAGACAATCAAATGAGACAATGTATTGAGAGTTTTATAAATTATAAAGCATTTTATAGCAGGTGGCAAGCCTTAGATTTATAATCCTCCACAGCAACCTCCCAGATGCTCCCCTCGGTTTTTTTTTGTTTGTTTGTTTTTGTTTTTGTTTTTTGAGACAAGGTTTCTCTGTGTAGCTTTGGAGCCTGTCCTGGAACTTGCTCTGTAGACCAGACTGGCCTTGAATTTACAGAAATCTGCCTGCCTCTGCCTACCGAGTGCAGCCTGGCACTCACTATGTAGCTCAAGAAGTGGTCTCCTAATCACAGAGATCTATGTGCTTCTTCCTCCTGAGGGCTGGGATTAAAAGTATGTGCTGCTACACCTAATTTAGCTCATCTTTTGTTTTTTGAGGCTCTCCTGGGATGTGCCAAGTAGGTTGGGCTGCCTTGCAGGTAGGCCTCAGGAATTCTCCCATCTCCACCCTAGAATTCATCTGATGCTGAGATAACAAGTTCAAGCCACCACTCTGGTTTTGTTGTTTCTGCCAGAAGAGTTCTAGGAATTGAACAGTTCTGATCCTCATACTTGTATGGCAAACACTTTAACAACTGAGCTCTGCCGTTTGCCTATTAAATCTGTAAAATTGTGTTTGGAATAGATTGGGCAATTTTTAAAATATTTATTTATTATGTATACAATATTCTGTCTGTGTGTATGTCTGCAGGCCAGAAGAGGGCACCAGACCTCGTTACAGATGGTTGTGAGCCACCATGTGGTTGCTGGGAATTGAACTCAGAACCTTTGGAAGATCAGGCAATGCTCTTTACCACTGAGCCATCTCTCCAGCCCCAATTGGGCATGTTTTAACTAGGGCTCATTGTATCTCAGAGTTTTGTTTTGTTTTTGTTTTTGGAGACAAGGTTTCTCTGTAGCTTTGGAGCCTACCCTGAAACTTGCTCTGTAGAACAGGCTGGCTTTGAACTCAGAGATAGACCTGCCGCTGCCTCCCGAGTGCTGGGATTAAAGGGCGTGTGCCACCATGGCCTGGCTGCTAAATTTATTTTTATTTTAATTATGTGTGTATCCGTGTGTATCACAGGAGTGCAGGTGCTCCATTGAGGCCAGGGTGTAGGAAACCCTAGAGACGGAGTTACAGGTGTTTATGAGCAACCTGGTGCTGGGAAGTGAACTCAGGCCCTCTGTAAGAACAGTGTATTTGAATGTAACTACTGAGCCATCTCTCCAGCCTGTGTTTCATCTCAGGCTGGTTTAGAACCTACTATGTAGTACAAGGCTGGTCCAAACCTGGCCTTTCTTCACTCTCAGCCGTTGAGAATTTGAATTACAGATGTGCATCACCACAACTGATTTGGCTCCAAATCTATTTAGCTCCTACCCATTCAAAGTTAAGGAATATAAAACTGGGTCCCTGGAACTCACTATGGAGACCCGGCTGGACTTGAACTCAGAGATTCGCCTGCCTCATAATCCAGACTTTAAAAATAATCGCCACAACAGATCTTATGTTTAAAGAAAGTTCCTCGATTTGCATGTGGGTTGGACATGCCTCTGAGTGAGCTCCTTCTATAGCCCCTCTCTTGATCAGCCAAGCCGTAAGACGCTAACTCAAAAGATACATCATCAATACTAGAGATGATCCAAAACCACAGAGAAACCCTGTCTCGAAAAAACCAAAAAAAAAAAAAAATACTAGAGATGATTCTGTTCCTAGAGAAGTTGGAGATTTAGAGTACTGATTACGAAGATCGGTATTTAACAGAAAGATTCCACAGTAGGCGTTATTAAATACTGCCACGTTGAGGGATGTGAGGTTGTTTGCCTGTACATCCTCTCTCCTGATCTGACCCTCTTCCACTAGGCTGAGTGGCCCGTGGCTCTGGAATGACCTTTAGAAGCGGAAGGTGAGTCCGGAAGGGGTCAAAGTTAAAGGGCATAGTCGTGAGCAGTTGAATAGCACACGGCCGGAGAGGACTGACCTCCCTGCGGACCTGGAGCAAAAAGCGCTAGGTGCCCCCTTTGGGAACCTTCGGCCACCTCCGGAGAGTTTCGGCTCTTTCCGCCAGTTCCCGCTCAGCTCTTCACTGATGGGCGCGCAATCGCCCACCCTTAGCCCGGCCGCTTCACCTAGCTTCTTGGCTGTCCCGCACGCGGACGCGCCTCCACTCATTCGCCGTTCCTTCTCGTTTGGCCCTTGACCCGCACCCCGGCTTCCCGCAACTCGGGCACGCGAAACCGGCGCGAAGGACGAGCGCCCGAGACGAGCGGTAACCCGACCGCCCAGCGTCCCCCGCGGGCCGCGCGCCCTCGGGCCAGGTCCCCCGGCTCAAGTCTCCCTCGCGCGCCTCTCGGCCGCAACCTCCTCGCGCGCGGCGCAGCGGCGTCGCGCTGGCGCGAGTACGCGCCCTGCGCTCTGGCTGGCTGGGGCGCACGCGCGCGCGCGGGCTCCGAGGCGGGGCGAGGGGCGAGCAGCGCGAGTGCGTGCGAGGGTCGCTGTGGATCCGCGGGCACTCCGGCCGCAGCCGCGCCAGCGAGTCTCTGCCCGCCGCCCGGCGGACGAGGGAAGCGGGGAAGGCGGCCGTGGGGGCGGGGCGGCGGCGGGCCTTGGGCGAGCTCGGGGAGGAGCGCGGCAGCGACGGCGGCAGCTCCCGGGGACGAGGACTAGGAGGAGGCGGAGGCTCTTTCCTCATCCCAGACCCAGGAGCGTCCCAGACGCAGCGCCCGGAACTGGGGGACGCGGCGGCTGCAGGGAGCCCGGGCTAGGTGAGGCTGAGGGTGTTGGGTGAAGTGGGTGGCGGGGTGAGAGGGGCCAGAGGTGGAGCGGGGGGCTCGAGGTAGGGAGCAGTTGTTGGGGGGTGGGGTACCGAGAGGAGGAGGACCGTGAGCCCTTCGGGACCTGCAGCGTGCAGAGGGCGGAGGGTTTGTGGAGTTAAAGGGGCGAGCGAAGCACACGGGTCCGAGTTGCGGAGTTTCCAAAGGATAGGCCAGAGAAACAATGGAGTGAGGGGGCTCTGGCTTGAGCGTGTGCGGTACTGGGTTTAGAAAACTACGAGTGTGATAGAAAAGAATGAAATAGTAGGTAATTCGAAATGTGAAGTACAGCGAAATGGGCATGGATGAAAAACCTTCTGCTTGGGTGTCAGCGGTCCTTAGGACGCAAGTGCCGTCATGGGTCTTAAAGGATAGAAGAACAATTTAGGAATTTGAGAATTGAGAAGGCAAAGAGAGGCAAAGAGATAGGAGTTTGGTTTTAAATTAAAGTACAGTATCGGATAAGTGCACTATTGAATCTTTTTAGAAAGTGGGTTAGTTTTAGACTTGGCCCCTTGCTAAGTCATGCAAGCCAGTCTTTCAATAATTTTATAATTATTTGTAGTCAGTTTTATTGTAAGACAAAGCTGTAATATTTATTCCCGATCAGCTCACCAGACTACATAATTTTTCTGCATTTATTGAAGCGGGAGAGGACACATTACCCGAAATATCTTGCTAGGAGTGAGGTCACTAATGCTGCAGAGTTCAAGGTGTTTGGAGTGGAAAGCTGTGATGAAAATCTAATTGTTTGATCTTTGTTAGAATTTCAGTTTTCCATTGAGAAATGTTCATAAGCCATCTAATTTTGGTTTTGTGCTTGGGGAAGAGAATTGGGGTTTTTGAGAAATTGTTCAGTGGGTGCTAATTCCTAATGATCCAGCAGTCTGAGTACCTTCCAGTTTGAGGTAAGGTGACCCGGGAATACTGTGAGAAAGTATTTCTGGGTTGTGGAATTTGTATCCACTTCTCCCCCCTCCTCCACCCTTTGGAGGGTCCTACTCGGTAGCTCAGGCTGGCTTGGAACCAACTGTGTAACCCAGTTCCTCTTGAAGTATCTTTTGCCTCAGACTCCCCAAATTCTGGGATTACAGGTGTGGACCATGATGTTGGACTTGTATTTTCTAGATGCTTGCATTCCAAGACAGAATCTGATACAGCACTAACTAGAAGATTGCAGAGTTTGAAGTTGTCATTAGCATTACATATTCATAGATCTCTGTTCAGCTTTTCATTTGTGAGGTGTTTCCTTTTGCTGACTCATCTAAACTAAAAATTTCTGGGCATTTTATATTTTTCAGCTATGTTTATTTTATTTTTTCTTTTTCTTTCTTTTTTTTTGGTTTTTTGAGACAGGGTTTCTCTGTAACTTTGGAGCCTGTCCTGGAACTTGGTAGCCCAGGTTGGCTTTGAACTCACAGAGATCTGCCTGCCTCTGCCTCCTGAGTGCCGGGCTAAAAGGAGTGTCAGCTATGTTTCTGATAGCAAGCAACATTAGGCTACCTTATAAATATTCAAAAATCATATCCAATTACACTTTAAAAAATTCTTGGGGGCTGGAGAGATGGCTCAGTGGTTGAGAGCATCGCCTGCTCTTCCAAAGGTCCTGAGTTCAATTCCCAGCAACCACATGGTGGCTCACAACCATCTGTAATGAGGTCTGGTGCCCTCTTCTGGCCTGGAGACATACACACAAAACAGAATATTGTATACATAATAAATAAATAAATATTTAAAAAAAAATTCTTGCTGGAGTGGTGGTGGCGCATGCCTTTAATCTTAGTACTTGGGAATCAGAGACAGACAGGCATTCTGTGAGCTCAGTCCAGCCTGGTCTACGGAGCGAGTTCCAGGACAGCCAGGGCTGTTACCCAGAGAAACACTGTCTCGGGGGGAAAAAATCTTATTTATTATTTTAAATTATACATGTCAGTGTGTTTGTACATGTGAGCGCAGTGCCCCAGAGACCAGAAGAGGAGGTTGACTTCCCTGGAATTGGAGAGACAGTTAGTTTTGCGCCTCCTGAAATGGCTACTGGGAATCGAACTCTGATCTTCTGCAATAGTCCAATGGTTTTAGCCACTAGAGCCATTTGTCATGTCTCTAAATCGTACTTCGATTAAAAATTTTTTTGAGGGGCTGGAGGGATGGCTCAGTGGTTAAGAGCATTGCCTGCTCTTCCAAAGGTCCTGAGTTCAATTCCCAGCAACCACATGGTGGCTCACAACCATCTGGAATGAGGTCTGGTGCCCTCTTCTGGACTGCAGACATACACACAGACAGAATATTGTATACATAATAAATAAATAAATATTTAAAAAAATTTTTTTTGAGATGATAACACTCAATATCTGGTCTGTAATTCATAGTAATTGTTTCTGTCTCAGGCTCAGTTTGGGCCAAAGAAGCAGTCATGCCTGGCTGAACTTTACAGGCTTTTACTAAAGCCCAGACTCCCTTGGAACTCTGTGATCCTCTTATCTCAGTCTCCCAATTGTTGGAATTGCAGGAATGAACTGGTGTATCCATCCTTATACTTTCCAAAAAAAAAAAAAAAAAAAAGACGTGTGTCTGTGTCTCCAACAGAAAGACGTGTGTCTGTGTCTGTGTGCACGCACGTCTGCAGTGTGTATGCTGTAGGCCAGAAGAGGTGTCACATCTCCTATAGCAGAAGTTACCGGTAGCTGTGAGCTTCCTGATGTGGGAGCCAAACTCCTCTGGACGAGCTTAACTGCTAAGCCATCTCTCAAGCTCCTCTGCTCCCTATCTTGATTGATAAAAAGCAGTATGATCTGGCTTTAACTTGAGTCCAATATGTTAATAGTAATTTGTTTTATTCTTGCCTCCCATCCCCTGCCATCTTCTGTTTTTTTGGTCTTGTAATATAGCCCAAGTTCTCCTTAATCTTTTTGTCTTAACCTCCCAGATGTGATTACAGGTATGAACCACCACGCCTGACTGATGCAGATGACGCTTTTGCTTGATTGGTTTGTAGGCAAACAATTCCATCTGTAGAATCTTTGGAAAATTTATTGCTCCTTTGGTTTTAAAGTTTCTAGGTTCTAGTTTTAATGCTAAAAGCATATCACTAAGATTTGCCTTGTGATCACACTTACTTTTTCTGTTTAGTCTAGTTTATGTAGTGTACATGGTACTCAAACTTAGAGAAGTCAAGACAGCAGGGGCAGAGCCAGAACTAATTGTCTCGGGAATACAATTGAGAACTGCTCAGTGCTCAAGTGCTCTCCAAGCACCTGTTGATCCCACAGTTGATACTGGCATTACTTCTAAATATAGACAAGATGCTATTGGAAACCCAGAATGAGAAGAACAGAAACAGCTGGGGCCTGAGGAAGGCGCTGCAGGTTACCAGCCAAAACATCAGCACGCATGCACGATCCAGGGAGCCTGGTTAGGCTTCAGAGGCTGATTACTAACGGAGGGGACGCGGAAGTCTTCTTTTGTTGAGGTTTTATGTGTTTCGTGTGCTAAACTGTATAGTCACTCAATATTGACATCAAAAGAAATTTATATTAACTATTTTTTAAATTGCTACTGTAGTTTCCCGTTGCAGAACCACCACGTTAAAGCTGGGAGTGGAAAAGACTCCGTTCGTTTGGACCGCTTTAGTCTCTCTTAGGAGTGCAGCTGCTTATATCATTCTTGCTGCTTTCCCCGGAGACTGAAGGAAAGCTTATGTTTGCTCCGTTTCAGGGAAGGAGTCCACTCCTCATGTGACCATGTAACCGAAGGACCTTGTAGAGTAGGACTCAGCCTTCCCCACTGTTGCTGCTCAGTGTGTGCTCGGCGCCATTGAGAACTCTATCCCCTTTGTAGTGAGGCCCTGACTTCCTGGGGAATCATCTGGTCTCTAGACAGCGAAGCGTGTCTGGTCACCTTTCTGCTTTTCTTGATATTTTGCCACAAGGGTTTATTCTTTCTTGTTTTTTTAATTTTTTTTTTTTTTGGTTTTTTTTCGAGACAGGGTTTCTCTGTGGTTTTGGAGCCTGTCCTGGAACTAGCTCTTGTAGACCAGGCTGGTCTCGAACTCACAGAGATCCGCCTGCCTCTGCCTCCCAAGTGCTGGGATTAAAAGGCGTGCGCCACCACCGCCCGGAACTTTTTTTTTAATATTTATTTATTTATTATTGTATACAATATTCTGTCTGTGTGCATGTCTGCAGGCCAGAAGAGGGCACCTCTTTACAGTGGTGGTTGTGAGCCACCATGTGGTTGCCGGGAATTGAACTAAGAACCTTTGGAAGAGCAGGCAATGCTCTTAAGCTCTGAGCCATCTCTCCAGCCCTCTCGTGAACTTTTTTGTTCTGAAAGGGAAACTCCCTGTGTATCAAACAACAACTCCTTATTCCCCTAAGCCTGTCAATCACCGTTCTACTATCTACCTCCATTAGTTTGACTACTCTGTGTATTTGATAGATAATGGAATCCTGTATTATCCCCCACCCCCACTATGTGAGTATGTGTATGTGTGTGTGTACCTGCCCATGTGCACTGGGGATTGAATTTAGGGCCATATGCAATATACCATTGTTTCCTGGATTCAAATAAGCCTCTTGCCTCATCTCTTTCTCTTTTTCAAGGCAGGGTTTCTTTGTGTAACAATTAACAGTTTTGGCTGTGCTGGAACTCGCATTGTAGACCAGGCTGGCCTCGAACTCACTGAGATCCACCTGCCTCTGCCTTCCAAGTGCTGGGACTAAAGGCGTGCCCCATCGCCCAGCATTTGCCTCATTTCCTAGATAGCTGAGGCCAGGTGTTTGCTACTGCATTCTCCCACACTGCCTTTTGTTTATTTATCCTCAGTGGACATTTATGTTGCTTTACCTCTTTGGACTATCTTTCAGTTTTTGGTGATATTGCTGGGATCAAGCCAGGTATGCTTGTACTTTCAATCCAAAATTTTGGAGTCTTAAGTCCTAAGACTGAATCTC